TCTCTTCATCTCCCAAGTCCAAATCCTCATCACTTACGTCACTGACTCCATCTTGCCCATATCTCCCCCCGTGACGCTCGTACTGGTGGTACTGAGCAGAGCTCGAAGACTCCCCTACCTCTACACTCTGGGATCCACCGAATTCAGAAGAACTGAGTGTTGCGAGAGTTACGTTCCTTCGATGACGATGACTTCGATCTTGTCCCCCCTGTTCCTGTTGATCACGGGCAGACAAAGAAGCAGCACCATGACCACCATCCCAAGCCCCTCCACTAACCAATCCCGCGAACCTCCCCCCTTTTGTTCTCCTCAACTCGTCATACCCGCCTTCCTCAACCACCATCCCTCCCTCGATCATCACCACGCGATCGGCAATCCGCATCATTTCTTTGGAGTGGGTTACTACCACGATTGCCATTTCTTCTTCTTTTTTGCTTTCGTCTTTCCCTTCCTTGGAACTACCGTCAAGTCCGGTCCGATTACCATGAACAAGTCGAGCAAAAACCTCCCTCACGGCCTCTGCACCCTCAGCATCCAAACTAGCAGTCGGTTCATCAGCCACCACCACTTTCGGACTCCTCACTAGTGTGCGCGCGATACTGACACGCTGCGCTTGTCCACCACTTAATTGTAGACCGCTACCCTCGCCGACGACGGTGTCGTACCCTGCGGGAAGGGAGATGATGAAGTCGTGGATGGAAGCTAATTGGCATGCGTGAACTAGACAGTGGAAGTGGGAAGGAAGCCGCAACGGAGAAGAGTCAGGGAGACCATAGAGAATATTCTCGCGGAGGGTGGTGGGTAAAAGGAAGGGGTGTTGTGGGATGTAAGCCACACAAGAGCGGAGAGAGGGGGTGTGTGTTTGGGAGGAGGGGATGGAGTTGAAGGTTAAGGAATTATTGGTGTGGGCAGAAGGGGAAACAGAAGGCGGGTAGAGGTTAAGTAAGAGAGAAGCAATGGTTGATTTGCCGCAGCCGCTGGAACCGACGATTGCTGTGCATGTGCCGGGGTTGATAGTCAAGTTGAGGTTGCGGAGGACGAGAGTATCGGGCGCCGAGGGGTAAGCAAAGCGCAGGTTTTGCATACGGATGGGCAAAGGGTTGGAGATGCGCTGAGAGCCTTGGGATTCGTGGCTTGATGAGTGGGAGAGGTTGGCAAAGTAGAGCATTTGTGTTGCTGTTGCCTTTGCTGCGGCGATCTGCGGGACGTTGGCTAGCATGTTGACGCAGGTTCCCAAACTGAATAAGATGAGGTTGATGACGCGCAGCAAATCAGTCACCGAGGCGCGATCCTGGGATAAGATCTTGGCGCCGTAGTAGAATATCATGGCGGTCAGGTAGTACGCGATGGATTGGTTGAGACCGAAAAAGAGACCGACGTAGGTGGCCCTCCTTAAACCGAGCTGGTACGCTTCGCTTGTCTTGTCTTCGTATTTCCGCGTAAACCACCCCTCGAGCGTCAGAGCGCGGACGACTTTGATGTTGCCAAAGGTCTCGGTGAGGACTTGTCCAGTCCGCAAGGCGGCTTGGTCGCAGCGGGATTCCCATTTGTCGCTGAACAAAGCATTAAGACGGCCGGTGATGACGGCGGCAGGGATACCGGCGAGGGTGACGAGGGTCAAGTCCCATTGGATAGTCAAGGCCCAGACGATGGCGACGGTAATCATTGTGCAGACGATAATCAGAATGGGGAGGAACATGCCGACTAGCTTGCGCATTTCTTCGGCGTTGCGGTCCAAGCAGGCCACGATCTTGGCCGGGCTGTGGGAGCTCTTGTCGAACCAGGCTTTGGGTTGCGCCAAAATGCGAGTCATGGCTTCGGAGCGGAGGGTGGTGACCCATTTTGTTGCTACCTTTTCTAAAAAGTAATAGCTGCCAAAAGTAGCGAGAGCGTCGACACATGCAATGGCGGCGAGGATCCCTGCGTATTTGGAACCGGCGGCGAGTCGGGCGGAAGGAGACGACCAGAAGGAGGAGAGCAGTTGCGCAAAGACGTATGAAAAAAGCGGGTTGGCGGCTGCTACTACCAGACCCAGACAGACACCCAGAAAGAGTTCGAGCTTGGAGCGCAGGTCGAGAGTGGGCCAGACGGTGCGGAGGATTGCCGATAAAGAAGGGAGGCGGTTGTTGACCGAGTGCCGCTGCTTGTTGCTTGGCTGGGCATTGGAAGAGTGGGAAGCAGCCGAAACGACAGACGCCATGCTATTCCTACGCTTCTTGTGGAATCCAGCTCTTTGTTTCTTGTTGGCGAGCTTGTCGAGGAAGAAGAGCTCAAGAGAATCCAGGCTTCCGTTTAGTTGAGCTTCGATCACCTTCGGATCAGGGTGCTGGGCCCGCCGGGCATTAGACACGCGGGTTTTCTTGACTGAGAGGCCGGTTTGGGTGATGAGTTCGATGGAAGAGGTGCTGTGTCTGCGGTCGTCTTGCTTTGAGAAGGGAGAGACATCACGAGTGCGATCGGGGTTTGCGTGGGGGTGGGGGTGGTGGACTGGTACTCTGCCCGCGCCCAACAATCGTGAAAGTGGTCGTGACTGTTGGTTGTCCGCGGAAGAGTAGGGGTCATAACCAAACGTTAACCTGGGAAAGACAATACTTCCCCTCTGGCCACGCAGACTCAGGCCGCGAACTAGCTGGACGTAGGTAGCCTCTTCAATCACCTCCTCCTCTGACTCTTCTTCTTCTTCACGCTCTTGAATATCCTCCAACTCGCTCTCTACCTCCTTCTCCTCCTTCTCACTGTCCTCTGCACCCTCTCCATGATCACCACCGTCATGATCAGCCGAGGCAACAAGCCCAGCAAACAACCCCTCTCTCTCCTCTCTCAACTGCTTTCCATGTCCTTGTTGCACGACTCGTCCGCCCTCCATAACATAAACCATCTCGCCCTCTCCTATACAACCCACCTCGTGCGTGATGATGATTGTTGTTTTACCCCTCCTCCAGATACGGATAGCGTCCATGATCAGTCCCCTCGACACGGGGTCCAAACCAGAGGTAATCTCATCGAGGATCAACACGGGCGGATCGCGGATCTTGGCTCTCGCCAAAGCCAGGCGCTGACGCTGTCCGCCAGAGAGCGAATAACCGCCAGGTCCGATTTGCGTGTCTAGACCTTGAGGCATTCCGGCAACGGTGGTTTGGAGCAAGGCCATGGAGCAGGCTTCTTTGACGTCTTCCACTGTGACGCGGTCGGGCTGATAGCCTCCAAATGCGACGTTCTGGAATAGACTATCGTTGAAGAAAACGCTGGATTGCTGGATCAGGGTAATGTTCTGTCTGACCCATCCTAGGTCGAGTCGTGTGATGGGTTGTCCATCGACAGTGATTTGGCCTGTCAAAGGTTCATAGAAACGGACGAGCAGATTGCCGAGCGTGGACTTGCCAGAGCCGGAACGACCGACGATGAAGGTCAGAGAGCCGGGTGGAAAGTGAAACGATGAAGGCTGGAGGACCAAATTGGAGGGTGAGGACGGGTAGGCGAAGGATATGTTGGAGAGAGTGACGTCGCCTTGACAGGTAGGGGGTCGAAGGCCGCCAGGCTCTTGACAAGTTTTGGTCTGACCGGGATCAGCTTGGCGGACGAGATCTTGAAGAGATTGGCCTGCTGCCATCCCTTTGGCTAGGATAATCCATTGAGGGCCGAGGTTTTGAAGGGACTGGAAGGAGATGAGGGCGCAGTAAAAGGTCGTCAAGGCGTTTCCGGGGGTCAGTTCCTCCCGGTTGACGAGCACGACGGCAAAGTAAAAACCAACAACGAAGAGCGACATCATCCACAGCTTGATGTAACTCATCTGCCCATTGTTGGACAGCACCTGACGGGTGTAGTATTTGGACGAGCGTCGCACAGCCGAAATGAAATGGAAAGACTCATGGTCTGCCGCATTGTAAGCCTTGACGAGGTCGATGGCGGTCGTGGCAGCCGTTGCATGCTTAGCAGCCTCGGCCAGTTCGCGCTTTTGGCCGGCGATGGCAGGGTCGAGAAAGCGGGCGATGAGCCAGAGGATGAGGGCAGACGGCAGAGCGGTGGAGAGCATGACCAGTGTCAGCTTGTAGGAGTAGTACAGGGCGACGATGATGCACGAGAAAAAGACGAGGAGGTCGCAGACTAGAAAGCCGAACACTTGGGAGGTGCCCATTTGGAGTTCGCGGGCTTGTCTGCCGGGGGTGTGTTAAGTAGTGTTTCTCCCAAGAGGGGGGAAAGGGAGGACTCACGTCTGGATGGCAGTCATCAAGCTGGACATGCCATGCTCACGAAGATCAAACCAAGCCGCACTTTTGTTGAGCAGGGTCGAGAATAGAGTCTCTCTGGTCGTCTTTGCGCGCAACTCGCCGGCCATGACCCAAAGTGCAACGTCAAAGCTGCAAACCACCCACATACCGATTCCAAGGAGGAACATGTACAGACACCAGTGAGAGACCTGGTGAAGCAAGTCGGATGCGGCGATGATTCCTGCGCCGTAAGAGGTGCAGACCTCAAAGATCTTGCCCAGAAGAACAGCGTAGGCGGTACGGCCGGCGGCAATGACGGCTGAGCCGCAGAGAGCGGTGACCATGAGTGAGACATGGGCTGGGCGGGTGAAGGCGAAGAGGTTTTTGAAGGACGATCTCACGGGCTTGGGGGCTGGTTGAGCGGGAGCCGCAATGTGGACAGCGATGGACTCGCCCTTTTCCGTTTCGTGCTTTGAGCTGCTCATCTCGACTGTTAATGACAGCAGTTGTTGACTGTCAAATCAATTTGACCAGATCATGGTGGAAAGGGTCCAAGGGGAAAAAGACGGTCGGCCCTTTGGAGGAGGAAGTGGTATTAGCAGTTCGAAAAGGCTGGCGGCAACTGGTGATGGTATAATAGGAGGGCCATTTTTGTAATTCGGGTTTCGGTGGTAATAGGATGCGAAGGGAGAAGCGTCTCTGGTGTAGCTTTGTGAGGGTCTTTGTTTGGCGGTGCTTGCTATTGTTTGTGTCGAGCCATGCACAGTAAAGTGCTGGGTGGGCTCAGGGGTAGCCGAGAACAATAGGAAGCAGTTGTGGCTGAGATGGAATCGATCTAGGTGGCCGGCCCTGGAACAATAAGTACTTTGGGATCAAAATGGTGATGGGATGGAAGACTGCGGCACTTTTAATTCTTTGAAAACGATGCTTACCTCTCTCTCTCTCTCTCTCCTCTTCGATTTCCAAACCTATGTAGAGGCATAACATGTACACCCACGAGGACATGTTTCAAGAACTCGACTGGATTGCAGAGAAATTCACTTTGTATTCGCTCGATGGTTGGTATCCTATGCGCTGCTGCCCTGGGTGTTGCCCTTGGCCTTTTGCCTCTCCTTTTCCGCCTCCTCGTAGATCCAGTCGTTGAGGCCGGCGCGGTTTCTGGGACCTGTCAGTATTTTTTTTTTGCCTATAAGACTCGGACGGTGGTTCATACCTCGCAATCTCGACGGCATAAAACTGCATGCGCGGCACAAAAATGGTCTCCTTCTCGCCGTACTCGGTCTTGGGGGAGGCCCGCAGCAGGGTGCCAAAGTTGTAGTCGTCAATCTTCTTGTCGTAGGCCATCATAAAGGTGCGCCACCTCTCCTTGCCCGTCTTGCTCTTCATCTCGTCCTCGTTGATGGGCTCGGCGGGGTCGAACTCGGGGAAGTCCCTCTTGAGGTGCTCGAAGATGTCGTCGTCCATCTTGGTCAGGCGCAGCTTGGAGCCGGGCACCTTTTCAAGAATGGCCCAGTACGTCGCCATCTGCTGGACGGCCTTGACGGCGAACTGCTTCTCAATCTGGTTGGGTGCTAGTGGTCAGCATGCTGTCAGGGTGTAGGGTGGCGCATTGTGTGTCGCAATGTTCGGCGCAAAAAATAACGAGCGAGGCTGAGGGGGGAGGAAGGCGGCGTACATCCTCAAAGTTGTCCGCATTCTCAGCGTCAAAGTCCTTGGGAACCTGGGTAGTGACAGACATGGTGGGTGGTGTTGTTCGTATTCAAGTTGCTGTGGTGTGGTGACTGTATGTATGGTGGTGTTGGTGGTGATGTTGGTGATGGTGGATGAGAAAGATGCCGCCTGGGAAAAGATTGATGGAGACATGGAAGGGAAGCCAGGGTACAGAAGATGGCCTCCAAGTACCTCACTCAATGAAGGGAAGCGACGAGAACCGCCCAGACGCGTCAAATCCTGGCTATGCGATGCGACAAGCTTTCCACAGAGGTAGTTATAGTGGACATTCTCGCTACAAGCTCCCGCTGAAGGAACTCAGCAGGTACATGTGCGCTAACAGCTGACTTGAGTCTTTGGTACGACGCCCGGACTGTATTGGGAGAGGCGGGGCAATGACATGCTTCTGACGGGGCCTGGCGGAGCATGTGGAGGGGCCAAAGCGCAGAATTTTGATACCGGGGTAGCTTTATCGATAAGAGAAATTGGAAGTGGAAGACGGGATGAACACCCCGATAAGAGAAAATGGTTATCGGCTTATGTAATCTCTATCTTATCACTTACACTGCATATTCCCTGTTTGGATTTAATCGGCCAAATCAGATGAAATCCTGTCTCAACACCATCACCAACATCATCACCGTCACCATCGACATCAGTCAATACATGCCCTCACTGCTTCCAGTTGACTCTCATTACTTTGTGTAACCATTTTCATCTCAAAACGTGCTCTGTTGTTGTTTGCTTTGTACACCTGCCGCCCTGCCGCCCCAGGACGATGACTGTCTGGACCAAGCGGATGGTCAGAGACTGCCGTACCTGCTTCTCGTTCATGGAGAAAGGAATCGCAGAGTTGGAAACGCCAGGTAATTCTCTCCAGAAACAAGAGTTGAGAGCAGTAGCCATCAAGTTTGTTCGAGATGGCACCCTCATCGGCATCTGCGCAGTGTGGGGGAAACATGAAGGAGTCCCGGTGCCAGTCTGGGACCAGAACTTCACTTACCTCTCCTTACCGGTAACGACTGGGCACAACTACCTTGGTTATGTCACTTGGCGATAGTTGGTGCTTCTTCCTGCCCTCAACTGCATCCTTGACTCAGCCGGAAGGAGCTGGGGAAGGCCGAGGGCATGGCCCTGATCAGTGCCATCAACTTGAGTTGAAAGGAACCCAGAGATCCTCTCCTTCAACCCAACCCAACACTCGCTTGACAAGACACCACCATTTACCCCAGTATCCGTATCCGAGAAGCAAGCATACTTTCGCCATGGACAACTTGAACTCCTTCGATGATCTCGACTATGAAAACACTCACAACATCAAGTTCGATTCCGCCGTCCCGCCCCCTTATGATCGGACTCTGAATATCTGTTGGTCCCGCCTCCCCCGCGGCTCCAAGAAGGGAGATGGTGACATTGTTGCGGCCTTGCCCAAAGACACCCGCACCACGACTCAACTACCTCTACCTCTAAGGCCTAGTTCTGCTTGCCATCAGGATCCCTCCGAGTCTTTACGAAAAGCCGGCCACTGGGGCTACTTTAGTCTGCCCTCCAATGTTTCCCTTAAGATCTGCCGCTACATCGTCCAACAACACTCCACTGATAAGCCAATTCGCCTCAGCAGGTGGTCTGTCTACACTGGCCTATATCCCGTCAACAAGGACACAATGCTCGTTCAGGGCTCCGAACAGGAAACCTGGGAAAGCGAGTTCTTCGAGACCCATAACCAAGCATTGCATGCTCTTAGTCCTTACCTCCAAGCCAATCGTCGCTTTAGGGCCGACCTCGTAGCTGCCTTTCTCCTCAATCGTCGATACCATCTTGTCATTTCTCCCTTTGGGCCTACCACAAACATTCCATGGCTTGCCAAGTTTGGCCGATATTTAAAGTACATCACCATGGAATTTGACTGTACCAGGTTCTATGGTGGCAAGCCCAGAACAAGAGAAAAAATCGAAGCTGCTACACACTCTGGCGTGTTCAACGAGCAACAACTGAAAACCGCACTGGCGCCTGGAAAAGATGCCCTAGAATCCGTTAAGCACTACAAATGTGCATTAACTGACGTGTTGAAGTTGCTTACATGCGGTCGGCAATCCCCTGTCAACCGTTTGACCATCATGGTCAGAAAGTATTGGGGATCGCGGGAGAGCATGCCGCGTAAGTCTTTTGACAACCTCCACCCTGTTCTCTGTGGCCATTCGAACTGACAGTTACTCGCAGAAGGGTACCCCTACTTTGATCCGACATGGCTCAACTTCCTCCTGCTTATTCCCAGCGTGCTGCAGTCCAATGTCCTAAACCTGGAGACAATCGGCGTGCCCCCGAGGCTTTTAGGCTTGATGATCACCAAATTCTGGGGAGAGGGAAAACCCCCAACCGAGGATGCTCAGAGGCCACATTTTACATGGAGTCCCTCTCCGTCCACCCTCTGGCCCGAGATGCCGGGGCAGTCCGCAGCCATTTCTATATGCGGCTCCGTCGACCTGACCGCCGATTACCTACTCAGGCTTGATAGCCCGGGCCAAGTTGAGATTTACACCTTTCCAAGCCGGGAAGCACAAAAACAGCAGCAGTCTGCCAAGAAGAGACGGAAGTCAAGACGCAAGAAAACCAAAAAGTCCTCCACTCTTCCCAAACCAGAACCAGAACCCGTGGCAGGACACGAGGAACAACAATCGGGAGAACAGGCGCACTTCCAATCGCCTTCTCGGATCTCGGGCAGCTCAACCGTAGCTGTGGAAGCGGGTTCATCACATCAAATGGAATCCAGAGCAGCAAAAGCCTTGGGTACGTTTGGCTCATTGGGTATGGCAAGGTTCTGGAACGAGCGAAAGAAGACAGAGCTGGATGAGGTATCGATGTCCTCGCCCGAAAAGAAAGCTCTCCACATGCGGCGAGCACAGGAAAAGTTTGCGGAGCTCTCGAAGTTGCTGGAGGAGGCATCTCCACAGGCACCTCCGGATTCCTCTGAACGTTTAACCGTTGTTGACGGTACAGCTGCCCTAAGGACAGGAACTGGGCTAGAGGTACCCCGGGCCACTCTAGCTGGTGGTTTTGATCCCCTTTTGCCACCTTTCTCTCAACCTGCGACACGGCAGCAGCCGCCCTCCCAACTACCAGTCACTCCTGCATCACCTGATACTTCTGCTGTGCCTATCCCAATGCCTGATGGAAAGTGGACGAGGCTTACGGATGAGGACAGCCGGCCCAGCGGTGCCGGTTCTACTGCTCAAAGCGGGAATGGCGCTGGAGACCTGACGGACTCTAGGGACTGTGCCGATACAAGGTCAGGGGATAAAGATGTCTTGGGTATCGAGGAGGAGTGCACCCTGGTTAAGAACAAGAAGAAGAACAAGAGGAAGAAGAGGAAGAATGGGAAACACGCCCATTCACACGCTCAGCACGAGACATCACATGCCGACAAGGTCGAAGCGTCGTTGAAAAGTCTCAAGGATGAATGGTCCGCCACATTGGGGGAATCCTCAAAGATGAAGCAAGATAAGAAGAAAGAGGAAAGCGCTGCTGGTCCAGAACCAGGCTGTTCGAGCAAAAAGGCTGAGAACAAGAAGGCCGGCGAGAATGAGAGTGGGAAGTCTAGGGGTACTCCTACCTCTACCTCTAGCTCAAAGGAGGCTAAGAGCAAGGCTGGACTACCACAATCATCACAAACGGCACAGCCTTCTCTTCCACCACCTTCAGATCTACACATTTCTGGTTCATGTTTGGGCGACTTGGGGAATATGAAGAGTGGGGAGAGACCCGGATCACAATCACCTCCCGAGCTACAGTTACCTCCATCTTCAGAAGCTTCGATACCTTTGCCAACACTATGGCTGTCAATGGAGGTGCCAAGGGTGCGGCTGTTTAAGGTGCGGTTGCCGATGGTGCCAAAGGAAGAAATACCGAACGCATTCGATGAAGATGTAAAGGCTGAAGAGGAAGCTAAAGAGAATAAATCCAGCTTTCCCAGCCAAGACACTCAGGTTGGAGGTATCGCCAGTTCAAAAGCAAGAAACTCCAAGGAAAAAGATAAAGGACGGTGGACTGGAAGCCCAAAGCCGGTCGGTGAGAACAAGAAGGTCGAGAGAAAGTCCACATCACGACCGCAACCACAACCACCTTTGCTCCGGTCCGAAACGCAGATTGTCCAGGTGCCAGAACCGATCAATCAGTGTCAGAGGCCAAATTATCCACGTGTGAGCACAAAAGGGTTCAAACAACGACCGCGAGGACAGCCACAACGCCAACAACCGCATTTCCACCCGAAAGGACTTTCAACATCAGCTTCAAACCCGCCGCCTTCTCAGCAACCTTGCTTGAATGGGCCGGAAGCACCAGCGTTATATCACCGCTATCAAAAGCATAGAATGGACACGCTTGATATGCTACGCACGATGGCTCAAGTCCAACCAATGTCTCAGGCACCATCGATATCCCAGGGCCAAGTGCCTGTGATGCATCCTTTGTATCCGGCATCTCAGATGCCAATAATGACTCAGGTGCCGCCAGTACCCCGGATACCGCCATCATCCCTTTACCCCCAGGCGCCCATGACATACCAGGTATGAACCATATTCCAATTGCTACCAAACTCCCAGGTATTAACTGTATCCAAGGTTCCACCCATGTCCCAGGTTCAGTTGCAACCCATGCCCCAGATGCAACCGTTCATTCACAACCCCTACTATTCTCAGGTACCAGCAACAACAATGTCTGAGGTACCACCGATTTTGCCGGCGCTTTCTTCGCAACAAATGTATCCCTTCCAGCAACAAACATATCAGCCAGCTCACTTCCCATACCCAGGGGACGAGCAATGTAATGCGCAAAGGTGCTATCAAGAGACGCCAGAGCACTTTCACTTTCCAAACGTGCATCAGTTGCCACCACCACCACCACCACCACCACCATCACCACATCCAATGAACCCCGAGCTATCCGGAATGGCAAGAATGCCTCGATATGAGGACCGAAATATGTATTCCAGGGAAATTCTACCAAGTCAACATTTGACGCACATGGCGAACGCTTCGCTTCCAGATACCATGAACGTACCCGGTATGTATCCGGTGGTAAGTGCGAGTGGAAGTGCAATCGGAAGTCGAAATGGAAATGGACGTGCAAGTGGAAGTACTTCTATACCTCACGGAAACGGTATCAGTAACGGCCTCATACAATACCGAGTCCCCATACCGGCACAAGCACCAAACTCAAACGCCGAACGACCACACCGGCAACGGTCCACTACGGCTGGCGATTGTTCACGTTCCGAAACGAGGGTATGTGATGATGATGATGATGATGACGGCCAAGGAAAGGGAGATCCGACGTCTTTCGGAAAGGGAGGTACTAGTGTCTCTGCTCCTGCCTCTGGGCGTCTGAACAGTTGGCATGGTCCGAATGAGAAGAAGGCGAAGGGAAAGGGAAACGGAAAGCAGGTTGAGAACAAGCCCGAGTTCCAGTAGGACGACGACTTGGGGAGACGGAAGATGAAGGATGGCATTTTGTCGTCTGGGGATACTTGGACCTTTGAATCACAGTACCACCAAGTACAAAAGGCTTTGAAAGATGCGTCGCGGCCTTTACAAGTGCTGGAAGACATATCTTCAGAGTCTACACTCCGACAGCAGACATCGACGCAGCCAGAGATGCAGGCACAAACACCGACGCAGCCAGAGACGGAGTTAGCAATACACATGTCCAAGTCTGAGGGACCCAAGGAGACAGAGACGTCGAATGAGGAGCCAGATGGTGCGCCAAAAGAAGAGCTCCAGAAGCAGCCGGGGTACAGTCCAGGCCAAGTCCCAACACATGTCCCAGAGTATGCGCCAGCGTACTACGTGCTAGCGGACGCACCATTGTGTGAGTCGGAGGACATGCTAGATGATCCGCCGTGGTTTGAGCCAAAGTATACATTAACGGACGTGCCGACGGATGGGCCAGTGGACCTCCCACAGAACGTTCCGGAGGAATCTTCGCAGAGTATACCAGAGTATTGTCCTCCAGAAGAAGAAGTCTCAACCACCGTGTCATGGTATGAGCGAGAAGTCCTGTCGAACCTGTCAAAGGGAGAGAAAAATCGGAAAGTCAATGGGCCATGGGCCTACATTGGTGGTGCCACGGAGTCTGACTTCAAGAAGCAAAAGAAGAGGAATCCAAAGTCCAAGGAACGCGAAGCCAAGGAACCCGAAGTCAAGGAACACGGAGTCAAGGACACTGAAACCGAGAAGCCCGCACCTTCGAACCCTGCATCTCCAGATCCTGGAGCAACAAAACTCGAGGAAATCAAAAACAGTGACTGGTGGGATTACCACATTGATGCCGCCAATGAGCCTGACTTTGAGAAAAAGAAGAGAGATCCCAAGTCCAAGGCAACTGAAACCAAGGACACCGACACCAAGAGGTCCGTACCTTCAAAGCTTGCGTCGTCTTCGGATCCTGAAGCAACAAAACTCGAGGAGATTAAGGTCAGTGATTGGTGGGATTACCACAGGTGACACCCACGAGTCTATCTTTGGCCCGACAAAGACAGGGAGATCCGAGACTGAGCCGGGAATTGAAGAGCTCGCAAGCCCGTCTGATGGGATCCTTTTGAAGACCAATGAAAGTGAAAATTCCGGGCTGGCTGAGCTTGAGGCATGTTGAAGATGTTGAGGATATTGGTTACTGGTACGGTAGGTATCACATTGGAACATTGGAACATTGGGGGATGGGATCCGGATATGGACCAGCTGGCTTGTACGAGACCCGACTTTAAGTTGGGCAAGCTGGGCCAGCCAGCTAGGAAAGCGTAGGTAAGCGTATTTGTTTTTGAGCTGATGATGTTTGAACAGAGTGAAGCGAAGCTAGGTAGGTAGGTATGTTAACCTTAGAGTCATAAGCAATAGGTTTGGTTAGGTAGGTATACTGAATACCTCTAGAAGTAGAAAGGAATGATACCTCTGCCATGGACAAGAAAGGTTCATTGGTTATCACAAGCAGGCAGATGGACATGAGATAGATTTAGGGCCATAGCTGGATTAGATGATGCAGAGAACTCGATTAGAGAATGAGAAGCGATTTCCATTGCGACTGTGTTCGTTCGTGCTCCCTTTTGTTTTCTCATGGATGCTATGTGGTGTTTACATCCATGTGATCTTGGGTATTGTGCATGAGAATTCGAAAGCAAGTGCTCACGTATTCCTCTTAGCGTCCGAAGATGCGAAGGCTGCGATTGTCGACAATGGCCGACGTTTGGATAAAGGACAACCACAAGAAGGGCGTCAAAGGTTCACGGAGAACAAGATGCTCACAATAAAATATCCAGCGCTTCATTTGGACTGTTGGTAGTCTGTGCCTTGGGCCGCCTTCACTGACCTTGCCCATTCACTGGTACACCCTTCCGGGTATACCTAGGCTGCCTGCTTGGCTTCCCGTTTTCCCTCTTCCACTAGACGAACTCCAATCAACTCTTTTCGTTGTCGTCTTCCAGCCATCCGATAGCAACTCCATGTCTTTAAGGTGGGAATGGCAGTGTAAACACCAGACAGACAGTCTCCGGCGTCTCTGTCCATGTCCCTCTTTAGTCAGAGGTACCAACACTCCCACCCCTATTCCCATTACCATTCCCATGCCCATTCCCATACCTATCTCTAACCTCATCCCCGTTCCACATCCCCTTTCCCTTCACTTCCCCTCTATAACCTCTTCATCTCCTCCCACCCCCCATTGTTCCCCCCCTTCCTCTCTCCCTCCCTCAGAACTACCTCTGACCATTCACCTCCCCCCTCACCCTCTCCAACCGTCCCCGTTCCCAAACCCTCCCCCACCCCTCCACCCTACCCCCCAACACTTTCACCATCCCCGGCTCCAACAACACCACCCCCCTCGCTACTTTTGTCCCCTTTTTCAACAACAACTTGCACCCTATCGGCGTCCCCCCAACCATTTTTCCATTGACGAACTGCGGCACGGCGATTTCTTCTATTCTTTTGAGTTCCAGAGCAAAAAGTCTTTGGCCTGAGGGATCTTGGAGGGTTAATTTGTGTGTTGCATTTTTGCGTTCTTTTGCTTGGGCCGCTGCTTGTTGTTGCTGGGCTGTTGTTGTGGTTGTGGTGGTAGTGGATTGGGTTTGGGTCCCGCCGTCACCCATATCGACCCCGTCGTCGTTCGGATCATTATTAGGATCGGAGGAATTGGAGGTACTAGGTAACCGAATAACTTCCCTCCCGCGCGTCTGTTCCCCGCGCTCGATGGACTCAAGCTCTTCGACGACTTCCCATTTGGAGCGGGACAGGTTGACGATGTCGAGGACTTGGACTAGGACGTCTTGTGGGAGGGATTGGTCTTTTGGGTAGCCCGTAGTTGGGTACTGACCGGATGTTAAAGAGGCGGGGAAGCTGTGTGAGGAGATGTAGCTGGGGTCGAGGAGACCGGGCGTGGATAGGTCGGAGGAAAGGAGGCGGAGGCGGGCGGTGGCTAGGAGGGAGGGAAGGGGTGGGATGTTGCGAGAGGTGGTGGAGGGGATGAGGGTGGTGAGCCAGGAGAGGGAGGGGATGGGGAGGGAGGTGGTGCGGGAGTCGGTGGTGAGTTGGCGGTGGAGGGTGCGGGCTGTTTCCATTTTGGTGGGTAGAATCTGGTGGTGTGGTTGTGTTGGTGATGATACCAAGGCGACGATGAGTTTTGGTTGTGATGGTGAGAGTGGTTGTTGATTTGGTTGCGATTGCGGTTGCTGGTGGTGATGGGAGTGGTGAGGTTTAGATGAGTTTGCCTATCAGCTTTGTGATGACTTGGTTGAAATCTGGCTGTTTCGTGACGGTGTGTTTACGCTTGCTCGTAAGCTGTGTTGGATGGTAACGGGGTTTGTTTAGGTCGTGATGTTTTTCCTTGCGGAATTCTGGTGTTTTGTCCCCTCCAAATTGAATCTGATGACAAAACTGAGTTCTGCCCAAGATGTCTTCCACTTGTGCATTCGAGTACTGGCGTCTTCCTGCCGCGTCTCAAATATAAGCTGTTTTGCGCCTATCGTGGGAGCTAATCTTTGAGCATTAGAGAAGTCGCAAAAAAAAGAGTTTCGACTGAGTGTTTGTGAAGGTGAGTTGATTGTTAAAGGAAACGAACACGAAATCGCAGGAGCATCAGACAAGATTCTAGAATTCTTCGGGTTCATAGCACTGGCAAACGTAAATGTTAGTACCTCCTAGCTGTTCGTGGTGTTTCACAGCGCTGGCGCTAACTACCCTGCGAGCATCTATTTCCCCTAACTCCCCTGCTCCCCTACCTAGCTCGTCCCCGCCTATACATGGCGGGCGCTAGCCTCAAGACGGACGAGACAACCGGGCAAATTACAATAGTCAACAACATGAATTTATGTTCCTCATAGATTCGTAGTATTTTCATTTGATTTTCATGAACGCCTATTGCTTGTCAAAACGGTAACCGTGCCCAAATGAGGAAATCTGTCAGCCACAACCCATCGATATAGGGCCAGGAATCAAGGCCCACCAATAACAATCACAACGGTCCGATGGTGTAGTTGGTTATCACGTCAGTCTAACACACTGAAGGTCCCCAGATCGAGCCTGGGTCGGATCATCATGTTCATCTTTTTTCTCTTTTTTTTTTGCATCTTCTTTCCCCATTCCCTACCTACTATGGATCTTTGCTTTTCTTTTGTCGGATATTCAACGCTTTTTTTTTTTCTTCTCCCGCTTTCTATCATTTGCTCTTTCGCGATGCTTGCATTCATCTTCCCTTCCGTGCGCATTGCGGCTTTCAATCCCTTGGTTACGGGGTTCCACTGGACTGGACTGCACACGATGAAGACTTACAAAAGGGCAGCTTTCCCCGCTAAGGCCTCTTCGCTCTAGGAAGAGACTAGGGAAGAGGCATGGACGCGCCTAGGGATAGGTAGAAGACAAAGGTCATGTCATGTCATGTCATGGAAGCATGGTAGTTTGAAGCAATAGAAGAATACAAAACAGGTATTCTAGGGGACAAGGTGGATGAGATGGCTTACAGATGTATGAAAAATCTAACACCCGCTGATGTTTCTTAAACCTGGAGACCTTAGAGGTAGAAATATGCAGCGTAGTGTAGGCGTTTTGGATAAGGGCCATCTGACGATACATCGGATACCTTGACCCTATAGCTATACCTGAAGGTATTTAACGTAGATACCGGAACCGCTACACTACACTACTATGGAAATATCTTGTTGAGAGGGGCCGGTGTCGACGGCGGCGGCGACGGAAGGGGTGGAAGCAAGGGGAATAAACATTCCCACCATACTTCTACTGCTTCGCCGCGACAGCCGTAACCGCATCCCCCAAACTCTCCCACCCCCTCCTCTCCCAAGGCGCAACCACACAACCCACCTGCGCATCCGCCGGCCTTCCCGTGCCCGCATACGCCCTCGCCAGATCCTCCGGACTCAATTCTCCCCTAGGCGGAACACCCTTCCTCGCTACTCTCAGCGCCATTTCACTCGCTCCCTCCGCCTCCTCCTCTCCTCCCTGCTGAGCAGCCAAGTGAGCAACCCTCGACCAACCATGCGGCAAGAACGGATGCAACATGACATCCGTCATGGGCTGGGCCTCTCCCGACCCCATCGCAGTGAGGATCGCCCTCAAAACCTCACCCAGCTGCGCCTGCTGCTCCGGGCTAATCCCCTCGTCACTAGAGCGGAGACTTTGGAGTTCGGACACCACGGCATCCATTGACTCTGCGTCGTTATCTAGCAGGGCAATCACGCCTAGCAGCAAAACAGACTGGACATGCTGTTCCTTTCTTTCCTCCGAGTCCGCAATCACGCCAAACAGGAGATCCCGACCGCGTTCGCGAGCGGCTTCTTGGCCCGTGGCCCAGAGGATCTGAGCTAGTAGGCAGGCGACGTCAGGATTGGTGTCGGACTCGGAGAGGGCCTGGTCAAAGGCGGTGACTGCGGCGGTGATGTCGTGGGAGTAGTAGTGCGCTAGACCCAATGTGACGTGCGCGGAGAGACGCAGCTTGCGGCGCTCTTCGGCTGTTAGTTCGTCGGCAGACTCGTCGGAGGAGAGTTGGAGTGCGAGGTCGGCGGAGTCGATTGCTTCGCTGAAGAGACGAGCGGATAGCTGCAGGCGGGCGAGGTCGGATTTGACGATGGCGAAGTGTTTGAGGGCCAGCGGCGATTCGGTGCTTTCGTACTCTTGCTCGAGGGTGGTGGAGAGAGAGTCGAGGATGGAGATGGCCCTCGGAATCTCGCCTGTGCGCTCGAGGAAGAGAGCGAGGAGGTGGGTGTAGGCCAGGTCGGTGGAGGACGAAGCGGAGGAGTGGAGAGATTGCAGTTGGGTGAGGGCGAAGATGGGTTGGATTAGGGACGTGATGGGGAGGGACTCGGAGGAATACGACGAGAGGATGTGATCGAACATGGAGACTGCGTATCTCTGGCTGATGACCCGTGAGGTATCGCCCGAGATCTCCATGGCATGCGTGAACAAGCCCCGAGCATCCTTTTCGTTGCCTGTCAAAAGCGCCACAACACCCTGCCCCAGCCAAGCGAGTGAGTAATCGGGGTCTGTGGACTGGGACCGCGTGAATGCTTCGTTGGCGAGTGCAAGATCGCCCTGCGCCAAAGCCAAAGTGGCCAGGTTGGCCCAGACGTGGGCGCCGCGCTCGTTCAGGAAGAGCGAGCGGCAAAAGGCATGCTGAGCTACGGCTGGGTTGACTTCGGAGGTTACGACACCCAAAGCGTTCCAGAACTCGGAGTTGCCTGCCTCGAGCTCAATGGCGCGCTTGAAGCAGGCCATGGCGGCCTTGATGTAGTTGGTGGGCTTCTTGTGGCTGTTCTTACGGATATCCGGAGGCAGACAGGCGTGAGCGCGGTATTCGGCCCAGCCGAGGTTGTAGTAGGCCACGGACTGCGCGTGGATATCGTTGCTAGCGATATGGATGGAGCGCTTGTGGGCGAGGATGGTGGCCTGGAGGGCTTTGGTCAAGTCTACGCCGACAGTCTCGTCCTTGGGGAAAACGCCATCGGTGGAGACGATGCCAGTACCGACGTTGTCAACGTCCTTGAGGATCTGGTAGGCGGGAAAGTCTCCGTCGGTTCCAAGGAGCGAGGAAACGATTTCAGCCGGAAACTCGGAGATGCGGCCTTGGATGTTGGAGAACAAGGAGCAAGCGTCACCAATGGCCTTCCAGTAGTTGAAGGTCTCCTTGATGGCATCAGGAGCCTTGGTGGCAAAGGTGAGTGTCTCGGTGGCCAGACCGGCAGCCTTGCCAAAGAATCCCTTGTTCAGACTGTCAAACGCGTTGTCGACGAGTGTCTGCATCAAGGCAGTGGCGACGCCTTCTTCGTCCGGCCGCTCCTGGATGACACGTTGATAAAGCTCGATGGACTCATCAAAGTCACCCAACTCGCGCTTAATGTCGGCTAGGATGAACTTTGTGAACCACGTCTCTCCGGTGAGGTTTGCTTCAGAGGATTCCTCTAGCTTCTGTGCGTTCAAGATGGCCTTGGTAGCGGCAATGTAGCGACCAGAGCTGTGGTATGCCTCACCCAAACCCACCCAGGAATGGTAATCATTGGGAGAGATACGCAAAGCCGACTGGAAGGACACAATGGCCTTGTGGAACTCTTGCTTGTTGAGCTCGGCCACACCGAGAGCGGCGAAAGGCCAGCTTATACCCTTGCGCTTGGAGCCAGGTGGGGGCTTGACTTTGCCAGAGTCGACAACTCTTTGGGCAACGAGCTCGACGCGGTCCCAGTCTCCGTCATCGGCAAAGGATCTAGCTAGCCGCTCAGCAGACTCGACCTCGGACGGCGAAAGCTCCACTGCCTTTTGGAAACATCTGCGCGCTCTCTTCTTGTCCTTAGCGTAGTCGGCATAGTAGATACCGAGGATGGTGTAGGCCGGAGCGTGGTTGAGGTTGTTCTTGAGAGACTCCAGGAACAAGGCATAAGCTCCAGACCTGTCCTTCCGGGCAGCCTTGGAGGTGTCGATGTTCCAAATGCAGTAACCAAGACGGTACTGAGTTTGGGATAGGAGTTCCTTGGACTGGCCCTTTTTGGAAAGGATGGGGATGCAGGCCTCCAGCTCGGCTCTGGCCATGTCAAAGTCTCCTTTGAGTGCTTTGACCCAGGCAGCCTCTGTCCTGACTCGGATATTATCGGGGTCACGCTTCAAAGCCCGCTCAAGGAAGCCAATAGCTTCATCGTACTCCTCCTCCTCCTCGTAGATTAGACCAACACCAATCATGGCGGGAGTGGAGGTAGGGTCGTGAGCGAGTACCGCATCGAAAAGAGCCTTGGCTTCCTGGTGGTTACGGGGAGTCTGGTAAAAGACCAAAGCCGTGCCGAGATACAAGGAAAAGGCGTCCTCGGTAAAGCGGAAGTCCAGGCCCGTCTTGGCTCGCTCCTCTTTCAGGAACGTCAACGCCTTGCGCATCAGCTCGACATTGCTCTCCCATTCTTCCAGATGCTGGTAGTATTCGCCCATCAGTCTGAACGCCAACAATGACTCGGCACCGCTGATACCCTCGGTCATCATAAGAAGACGGTCTTCCTCAGTGATGGGAGCATAGATGGTGGCCGCGCCTCCATCCTCGTCGTCCTCGCTCTCTTCCGTGCTGCCCTCACTCTTGGCCGCCGCATCCTCTGTCGTCTGTTCCTGCTTCTCCTGCGGGAAGGGAGAGACGCTGCTGGTCAAGAAACCCATGACCACCCTGTTGAGATCACTATCGGGGAAGAAAGTGCAGTACTGTCTGAGCACCGTGACATCCCACTCCTTGATCTCCTTGTGGTCCTGCCAGTTGATGGCAATATCCCAGGCTAGCTTGTAGGGGTGTTTGATGATGACCATGTCGTTGGCGAGCTTCAGGACATTAGCCAGTTCTCGCTCCTTTTCCTCTCCTGGAGGCCAGGCCATCAGACGGTCGTGGCAGTATTGGATCAGCTTCTCCTCGTACATGCGGCGTACTTCGTCGTCATTGGTCCAGTTGATGAGCTGGGCGTAGGTGTAGCTCAGCCTGCTCTGTCTGTAGACCTCTCTCTTGACCTCCAGGGTGACCTCGCTGATTCTTGCGCCGATGCGCGTCCGCCTCTCGCCGAT